TATATATATATATATATAGACACACCATATCAGATGACGGGGTCAAAGCCTTGCTGACTGTTATACATTTAATATCATATGACTGGTCAAACAGTTCTGCTTGGCTCAGTTTATTTAGCTTGCTGGACCTTCTCCTGCCCTGATGAATGAGAGCTTGATTTGGTTACAGTGTATGTGTGTGTGTTGGCGTCAGCTTTCAGCTTTTAGTTTGTGTTTATCCGTTACCTCAGAAAGCGTACATGCTTAGTGTGTATTTGTGTAGTTTGCGTGAATGTATATGCTTATTTGATCTGTATGTTGAAGGTAAGTGTGTGTGTGTGTGTGTGTGTGTGTGTGCTCCTTTCTGAGAGATCCTCTTTCATATAAATGGGATGTTTGTTTCCTCAACCTCAGTGTCCTAAACTTGCACGATGACTGATACTGCCTAAACACACACTCCTGTACACACAAAGTCCAACCCGCACACCATGTTCACTGGAAACAGTATTTTAATGACAAATAGAAAAAAAGTATGTGTATATCACTGTCAGTGATATTTGTCTTCCTCCTTACATGCTGCTCATGCAGGTGAATAACCAGATTTCTTTGGTTCTTTCTCAAACACAAGGCTTTCTGTGATTATGTTTTTTCTTCTTTTTTGGCCCTCTTTCATATTATACGCACACACACACACACACACACACACACCCACACACACACACACGTGCGCATGCATGTCCAGTTTTAATTCAGTCATTTGACCTCTTATCCCATGATTAGTAAAACATCTAAGTGAAGGGTGGAATAATTATGAAATATCAAAGCAGAGTGAAAGAATATACTTATTTTATAGTGTTGTTTTAGTATTATTAGGCTGAATTTAATCCCTTCACTCATGCAGGAGCTGGTCTGTCGATCCATTGAGTGTTGCCTTAAAAGCTTAAAACCCCTGACATGTTTAATATATTTTTTAGTCCATTTTCTTTCCCAGGAAATGGTCATGGCGTGATGAAAAGGTTTCTTTACTGGCAGTCATCCATAAAGCTCATTAGTCTGCTCGCCGTTTCTCAGAGAGGGCTAAGCGGGTAGCGCTACTGTACGGATGAGTTCAAAACTATAAATCTTGCATTGTATTGCAAAAATCAAAGGTTAGAACACTTCATTTACTATTTTATACAAAATGTTACGAGGAATTAGCATCACTCTTCGAGTCGCATGTGGTAATCAGGTTTATCCAGGTATAAAACGAAAATGTTGTTAGAGGAGTGGAAAGGGGAGAGATGTGAGTGCTCTCTGCAGTGAGTAATACATGAACTAAGTAAAATTCAACCAAAAGAAGGCAGTCACAGTCTTTTTATGAAAGCCATACTGAGCTGCATGTGAAGTTACAGAGCTTGAAATTTGATTTATTTTTTTATTTACATTTTTGTCTGGGTTAGAAATTACAAATAGAAATTTGTAATTCAAGTGACCAAAAGGCCTACAGTGTATATACTAAAGCTTTGCCGCAGTTTCATACTAGGTTACATACTAACCCTAAGCGCGTTTTTGAGAATGACACTGAAAAGCATAACAAAACTAAGTATGCCCTGAAGTCAAAACTCTGTGAGAATGTAACTTCAGCACACTTACATTATATGCTAGTGTTTAGCTGCAGATGTTTTCCCTGTCCGCTGTTTAAATGCTAACGTGATAAGGTCAGTTAATTAGTACAAATGAGACTATAGTCGATGCAATTTGTAAATTAAAGTAAGTAAATAAAATTTTATTTATGTATCCCAAAATCAGATTCAAAGAGCTTCATAGGCATAAAAACATATTAATAAAAAAGCAGTTATTTAAATTATTAGCATTACAATTTTAACCTGTTAGCAGCTCCACGTGTGGGTAGTATACATAATTGATATGGTGTACTGAAAGTGCTGTTGCTTTGCACAAATATTTGCGGACTCAATAAAAAAAGAGGCTAAGATAAAGTATCACTAGTACCCTTAAAGTAGCAGCCATGTTGGATTGTGCTCCTTCCAATAAAGGTCAATTTCAGGGTTGCTTGCTTTGATTAACAACAGCTTTGTGTCGAAACATGCAAAACAGAGTGAGAAGGTTGGTGGATAAATGAGCAGTTATTTAGTGTTTGGTCTGGGGTGTGCAATTGGGGTCAGTCAGGTTTGGAGCTCTGTTCATCCAGGTGTTTGGGAAGATGGATAGATTCCCGCTAAGCTGCTATGACTGCCAGCTTCTTACTGGAAAAAGCCTAACATGCAGATGCCAAAATCAACTGACCACAGATCAGTCTGACCACTTTATCCTTAGCCAGTGGCCTGCGGCTCACTGATTAAAACTGATAGATCACGGTTCGAGGGAACGGTAGGTCTGTGATGTGTTGATTGACCACAGAGAACCTGTAAAAGAGAAGGTGACTATAAAATGCTTGCAGGGGTTTGTTTATTCTGAACACGAATTGTGTGCTGTTGTTGTGGTTTTGCTCTAATGGTTGAGAAACTGTGTAGTTTGGCTTTTTAGAATAGCTGGGGAATATCTAGTACTTTTTGGACAATGGAAAGTGTCCTAGACCAACACTGTCAGTTTTTTTCACAATTTAAATTTCTCCTACTGTGTGTTTTTAAAAAAAAACAAAAAAACCAAAACAAAGTTATTTGTTTTCTGTCTGAGACGACGTACACAGAAAAAGTAGCTGTCTGTGTCTTTTTTACTGTCAGGTATGAGACTCTCGCTGTGGCTACAGAAGCAGAAAGTCGACAAGATCCCAACTTACCCCTTAAGACTGGAGGCAAGAGGCTGACGGTGAGCACTAACACACACATATTTTATTTTTTCTTTGACATGATTGTTTGTTTATCTGTGTTGTGATTAGTGTTTAAAGACTGTAGGTTGAGTGATATCTGAATCTCGATAGTTCTTGGGGATCCCCTCATTTTCAGTCAAATGTGAATAATAGAATCCAAATGTCAGAGCACTTATGAATGTACTGTTCATGCTATTTGAATTTTTCTCTACCAGCACCAAAGGTCGCCACTATTGCCTTGAATTCGAACATAAAAATCTTTATTTGCAGAGCTTAAAGTTTCGCTGATACCCATTTCTATGGTAAATGGAAATTAAGTATCTAATAAAAAGGCACTGCTCAACATTTTATCAAGCGTGTTCAGACAACGCACATGTCAGGCTGACATTCACGCATACGATTTTTTTTATTTTTTTTGTGTGCAATAAATGACATTGTTCTGTGTCTTTGTGTGTTCCCATAGCCTGACTGGGTATTTGTGCTGGGAGAGCAGGCCCTGGATCTCTGTGTGCCCTCTTTCTCCCATGCTTCTTCCCACATCTTCATCCTGGGTGAGAGGAACATCTACTGTCTCCGTGACAATGGGCAGATCCATTTCATGAAGAAGCTGGAGTTCAACCCCAGCTGCTTCCTGCCATATGCCTCGGGTAACCCAGGACACCAGACAAAAAGTTGACACACTATAAAAAGATATTTCTCCTTCGCAGTCTTTATTGTAGTCTTTTTGTATTATTCTTATTCGTACTAGGAATAACAATATTCCTTGTAGGTTTTTGGCAGGATTTCTGCTGCAGCACTTATTTAGGCTGAATGTGTAATAATAATGATTTAACAAACATGTTAGACACAGAGAATTGAGAATAGGATGGAAAGTGATGGCTGCTGAGTTTCAAAAAAGCAAAGCAAACACCAGTCATGTTTCTCCGGACAAATCATAATGCAGAAACAAAACAATTTGTTTCCAGAAGAAGGTCCAAATTGTATATTTTTCTTCAAAGGTAGTGATTAGTTTTAGTTTTATAGAAAAACATGGACCTGTTGTCAGCATCACTTGTAACAAAGAGCAAAGGTTCACATGGCAAGCTAAGGGATAAAGCTTTTCTTTTCCCTTAGTTTTCATATTTTGCCAAAGCAGCAGAGGCAAAGTTCAGATGTGTTCAGCCTGGAGTGAGGTGAAACACAGAATCACAACATTCAGTATGCTTCAGTGCACCTGCCATAAGCAAACTTCCAAAAGACTAACTGGATAAAATACTAAAAAACAAAGCAACTGGAATGGCATACTGCCATGTGATTGGCTCACAGGAAGCTGCTTTTGGCAGAATGTGATGGAATAAACCGAATAGCTCTGCTACATAAATAAAACTGACTGCTGAACAATAGAGTTTATAGACATGTGCCAAAAGAAGAATGAATAGCACATATAATACAGAATCATACAGGTAATAAACTTTATTTTTGTCCAAAAATACTTTTTATATGTAGTGTATCTTTCTTTCTTTCTTTCTTTCTTTCTTTCTTTCTTTCTTTCTTTCTTTCTTTCTTTCTTTCTTTCTTTCTTTCTTTCTTTCTTTCTTTCTTTCTTTCT